TTTTTGATTTTTTTAAAAAAAATCATTGATTTTTATCCACTCTGGTTGGAAACCCCTGCTCCACACAATATTGCTTTTCTCATTCCTGCTTGTTGACTTATTATTAGATTATGACAGCAAAGAAGTAAATCTTACGGATTACTTACACTCCAGTGACAACTCAAGAGTTCCTAGGACAGAGTCTTGTATACTCTGCTGACCTGTAATAGGGTTTGGTTGGTTGGTTGGTTGGTTGGATGGATGTTTACATGTGATCTCAATCATTATGGCTTGTTAATCAGGGAGTTATGATTTAGCATCTTGGGGAAATTCAACCATGTACTTTACCCAACCAACTGAAGCCAAAAGAATACCAGTGTTTGGCACAGGAAGAATGAAAAGGCTAGGGATCAAGATGACAACAATTTGTTGGGACTGAAGGCAAATGGACGTGTCTCAGGATTAATGTTGTAGGATCCAGTCTGGTTCGGTCACCAGGACCAGAGGATTAGTATTCTGAGCTTTCAGACTCATGTTGAAGCCCATCTTCAGGGAGATTCTCTCTAGCAGAGTGTGTGATGTTCTCTGTGTGATATTTATATGCTGCCTGGTTGTGTGTGGCTTTTTAGTTGATGGGGTATTGATGGCTGGCTTTTAAGCTGTTGGCTGTTATTTCCTTGTGCACAAGGAAACAACAGCCAACAAACAGCAGCCCAATCAACAACTAAAAAACCACACACAACCAGGCATTATATAAACACCACACAAAGAATAGCCCAAAACACACACTTTGCTAGAAAGAAATTTCCTGAAGATGGGCTCCAGCATCGAAAGATTAAACCTCTGGTCCCGGTGACCGTCCTAGATCAGATCCTACAATTTGTTGCGATTATAATTCACTGAAACAGCCACAGCATTAATACATTACATTAACCATAGAATTGTAAAAGAAAGATACCGAATAATTCCCTCAACACGGTCAAACTATTCACTAAGTCTGCACTACTATTAATCTTCTCATCGTTCCCATCACCCTTTTCCTCCCACTTATGACTGTATGACTGTAACTTTTTTGCTTGTATCTTTACGATTTATAGACTGTTTCCTAATATGATTTGATTGCTTATTTGTACCCTATGACTATCATTAAGTGTTGTACCTTAGGATTCTTGATGAGTGTATCTTTTCTTTTATGTACACTGAGAACACATGCACCAAGACAAATTCCTTGTGTGTCCAATCACACCTGGCCAATAAAATTCTATTCTATTCTATTCTATTCTATTCTATTCTATTCTATTCTATTCTATTCTATTCTATTCTATTCTATTCTATTCTATTCTATTCTAAATTCTACTCTACTCTACTCTACTCTATTCTACTCTACTCTACTCTACTCTACTCTATTCTATTCTAAATTCTACTCTACTATATTCTATTCTACCGCAGGCAAGCAAACAGTTGATTTAATAAGTTGCTGGACAAGTACGACTAAAGATAATAACTGAATTCACACATCGTGCTAAACCAAAATCTAACCACAACATCCTGTGATGTGAGAACCCAACCATACTCTCAAGGAATCTGATAAGAGAGATTGCTGCTAGAATAAAGCTACAACATATTCCACGTATGCCCAAACTATACATTGGTAAATGAATACAAATATTGCACAATGATGTAGCTATTTTGGAAAAGAAAAAAAAATCTATTTTGGTACGAGCTAGACTTTTGGAATTTTTCACTGCACTGGGAAGATGGAGGAAAGCAACACAATATTGTTTGAATATGAAACTGCATTCTTCTCCTTAAAAACAGCGTGCGGAAGAAGAAAAAATATTTTGGGAGGAAACCTAGCTCCATTTTATCAAAATAAATATACACACACAGGTTATTTGTACAGCTGGATGCTGACGCAGATCTTTTAAAGACTAAGTCCTGAGCAAACAGCATGTCTCCAAACAGATTTATAAGTGCACGACATTCATTAATTTATGCCTGTTCCTTGGTCCAGGAAAAAGTGATGCAAAGCTTGCATTTTCATTAATGTGAAAGGGAATTTTACTGGCACACAACCAGCCAAGTCATTGGCTAATTTCATACACAGTTCTAAAACATACCGTAATAGGCTAATCTGGAATTTGCTGTTAGGAAATTGTCCTAAATAAATGAACCTTAGGCCAATTTGTCCGTCGTCTGACTGCAATTCCTCTTGTTCCCTTCTCCTAAATCACGATCCTCTATTAATTAAACCTATGATAATTCAGTGCAATCTTTATAATCCTGTACATTTAATCCAGCAGCACTTAGGGAATGAGGGTAGGCAAACAAGGGAAGGAACTAAGCCTGCTGTATTGACAACTCAACTCTGAGTATAGCTCAACTCTGGCTAAGGGTACAAAATATACCTAACTAGGAGAATTAGAAGATGTAGTGGCTGTATCTGCACAAAACATTATGCTTAAGATAGGATTTCTGTGGCACTGTGATTTGCATGCACCAGTCCATTTAATTTATACATTGTGAAAAATGCAGAAAAATTCATTAACAGGTTAAGAGCGTTGTGTGAATGCAAACTTTCTTCCTTTTGCAATAACTGGTTTTAAATTACTGACTACCCGCTAGGTAGAAGAGCAAAATTTAAATTAAATTGTTAACAATCAGCATCAGTTAATAGCACCTTTGGGGGAAGAAAGCGGTTTCAATCAAAAAGTAGATACTATTGTACATCACAGTTCTGATGGTTTGCTTTATTTATTATTTATTTATTTATTTATTTATTTATTTATTTATTTATTTATTTATTTATTTATTATATTTCTATACCGCCTTTCTCCCGTAGGACTCAAGGCGGTGTACAGTCAAGAAAAATATAGACACACAAACATCATATAATTGCTAATTAAAAATTTTACCAAAGCAACCATTTATTTTGTGGATTCCGTGTAACGTGATGTTCTACAGCGCCGTGCATCAAAAATGCTTTGAATACTTATTTCTAATTTGAAGGTCATCGCTGAGTGAAATATAATGCAATCACCAGAAAAAGAATAGGATAAGTACTAATTACTTTATTGTGGGCTAAACATCAAATTGCAATGAAACATACTAAGAACACTATACACAGCTGGTCTGAAAAAGGAGAGGACAGGAAATTGATGGCTTGCAAAGAGTTTTCTTTCCTTCTGGTGTTCTTTCAGATTTTTGCAGGTCAGATATGCTAGCCCAGGAGTCTGCAACCTTAAACACTCAAAGAGCCATTTGGGCCCATTTTCCACAGAAAAGAAAACACCAGGAGCCACAAAACCTGGGTGGGCGTGGCCAACTCGATGTCACTCACTTCCACCGGTCACATGACACCCGCCTAGCCACCGCTACCCAGTCGGTCATTAGGGCATAGAACCAGTTGTTAAAAAACACAGGGAACCACCAAATCCTTTTGACATCTCTCCCCTCCCTCCCTCTCCCCCCCTGCCCCCCCCTCTCCCTTTCTCTCTGTATCTCTCTGTCTCTGCCCTGGCCGCTTCTCCATCTCCCACCGTCGCCCTTACCTTCTCAGGCCAGGCGAGGAGTGACTGGGAGGGGAAGGCGAGGGGCGGGGCCAGCCAGTGTTGGGATCACCTGACAGGGAGCCACAGCAGAGGGCCAAAAGAGCCACATGCGGCTCCAGGGCCGTAGGTTGCTGACCCCAGCACTAGCCAATATACAGCCACTGCCTCTATTTTCATATTCTCATGTCTTCCAGATATGTCGAACAACACATTTCGTCACTCTTCATAGGAGTGAAACCAGGAATGGGAGTGCCAAATCAGGTGGCTGCCCTCATCTGATTAATCCCAATTTCCAAACAGGATGAGAGCTGGTTAAACCAAGCCTGGTGGCTCAGCAGACTAAAAGCATTGTAATTTAACACCAGCTGTCTGCAATTACTGTAAGTTCGAATCTCACCAGGCTCAAGGTTGACTCAGCCTTCCATCCTTTCTAAGGTAGGTAAATTGAGGACCCAGTTTGTGGGGGCAATAAGCTGACTTTGTATAAATATACAAAAGGATGAAGGCTATTGCTTAACGCATTGTATGCTGCCCTGAGTCTCCGGAGAAGGGTGGCATATAAATCAATTTTTTTAAAAAAAAAAATCCTTGGGGGGATAGGAGACCACCAGGAAATCCTAGGGCTGTAGCCAAGATCATAAAGTTTAAAACAAAAAACGAAAAAAAGCGAAGCCAGTCACCTCCACTTCCCCCACCCACTCCCCCAAAAAACCACCACCTAGGTTTCTCTTCTTGCAAATAGAGACTTCCTCATCCCCCTTTCTGGGAAGGTGGCCAGCTCAGAGAAGGGTGGGGTGGAATTCCAGGCAACCCTGGAGGAAGTAGCTCCAAAATTTCTGGGGGAGAAGAATTCCAAAGGAAGCTAAAAGTAGACCTTGGTTGGTTGCAAGCCTTTTCTATCAGCTCAGTGCTGGAAAGCACTCCAAAGAGCATCCGCCTTTGGCAACTTTTAAGAGTTGTGGACTTCAACTCCCAGAATTCCCCAGCCAGCCCTGGGCTGGCTGGGGAATTCTGGGAGTTGAAGTCCACAAGTCTTAAAAGTTGCCAAGCTTGGACCTCTCTTCCATCCTTCCACTCTCATCAAATCCAATGGGAATTGCTGCCATGAAAGCTACCCCTAGGATTCCCAGGAGAGAGAAAAAAAAACCCCCAAAACTTCCATCTGCAGCTCCAGTAGCTTCCCTACCCGGCTTTTTTCCCCTATTGGAGACTGCAATAGTCTCCAATAGGGACTCTATTGCACTAGAGACCTCCTGATGTCTCCCCCGATGCTAACCTGGGTAGGTGGCTCAGTGGGCTTGTCGATCAGAAAGGTCGGCAGTTCGCCGGTTCGAATCCCGAGTGAGTGAGCAGAGGGGGGGTTGGACTAGATGACCTCTAAGGTCCCTTCTAACCCTTGTTACTGTAATGCACCCAGAATCAAAAAGAGGGAGGGCCAGTTGTAAAAGGGGGCTTCTTTCCCCGGCTTACCTTCCCATTTCTGGGGCTGCCATTAACAAACAGGGTGACTCTCTTCATGTCCTCCCTCCGGAGTTGCTGTTACCAGCCTGGCTACAAACCCGGAAGAGTGGCGTCCTTAACCAACAGGCCCAGCCACCAATCCGCCACCCTGCTTGTTTTTCCCCTCTGCCCAATCGGATTCAAAGGAAAATGAGGTTGGGGGGCGGGACTTTTAGGCTGGGGAGGCGGGTCCGTCCGTGCGATTGGCTTTTTCAGGAGGCAGAAAGGGCGGGGTTTACGGAGAAGGGCGGGGCAGGCAAACTCCTCGTCTTTTTCCTCCTCCTCCTCTTCTCCGAAAGGCGAGCCTCGCTCCTCATTGGCCAGACTCGTATCACGTGATGCTCCAACCAACCGTTCTTTCATCGTTGCTGAACGAACAAAACCCATCCGCCGGGCCGGGATTTCTTCCAAGGGGAGGGGAAAAAATAGTCCGCGACTGGCCTCCTTGATTTGTTTCCTTCACGGGCGGAGGAGAGGGCAGGCATCCCCAGTGGTTTCCCTATCTGAGGCCGGTGGACCGTCTCTCGGGCTCCGTTTGGGTGGAGAGAGAAGGAGCCTCCTCCTCCTCCTCCTCGCGGCGGAGGGATACACGGCTCTGGCAAGCGGTGAGAAAACGCTTTTGAATGAAGGGCGCGAGGGGAGGCCCGCCGGCGGCAGTTGGTTAGCGCCGAAGTCGTCGGATCGTGTTGTTTGAGCGCACCGAGGGCGCATCCTTTTGAATACTTACGGTAAGCCCAACAGCAGCCCTGAAAGCTTCGACGGCTTAAATTTATGATAGAGAAGCTCTAGACTTACTGGTTTCCAAGCTTGGCCGCTTTAAGATGGGTGGACTTCAACTCCCAGAATTCCCCAGCCAGCAAAGCTGGCTGGGGAATTCTGGGAGTTGAAGTCCACCCATCTTAAAGGGGCCAAGCTTAGAAAACAAGTCAGTCTAAGGGCATTCCTTGTATATGCCAAGCTAAGAAGGAGAAAGCAAAGCACCTTCCCTTCTTTGGGAATGCATGTTTCATGTTGGTGTGCAGATGTGCAAGAGGGAGCGTGTGGCCAGATACAGAGGTTTTAGACACCTTCTTGGTCCAGAGTTTGCAATGCTTCTGAGATAGGGTGGGCCATTCATTTTCTCAAGGGACGGGACATGAGAAACTGGGACTTGTTACCCCATCCAAGAGGGCTGTGAAGGTGCGTAGGCATGCACGCGCATACATAAATTGGGAAAAAAAATAAAATAAAAATCACCAGCAAAATAAAATGCAGTGCAAGTTGTACTGCGGGGCATGGCAGTTGCACTTATTTTACGCTTGGTTTCTGATTTCCAAATGACCTCGTGTGGGCCAGACGGAGACAGATGTTGTCGTCATCGATTCGGATCTGAGCCTGGTGCCGAGGCCAATGAAGGACGCCAGACACATTCTATCACATGTGGTGGCAATGCCCCAAAGCAAAGACATATTGGGAACAGATAAGGAGATGGTTACAGGGGATAACAGGAGAACAAATTGAATCTAAACCTGAATTATTATTATTTTTTTTATTTGGTTTATATGCCGCCCTTCTCCAGAGACTCAGGGCGGCTTACAATGTGCTCAGCAATATTATTATTTTTATTAGGAGTAATTAATCAAAAGATAAAGAAGCAACTCCAACATCTCATTTTACATAGAGTAACAGCAGCACGAATTGTTTATGCCCAGTGTTGGAAACTTGAAAATATACCAGCCAACGAGAGGGTTATCCATAAGATATTAGAATGTGCCGAGATGTATAAGCTCGCATTAGAAATAAAAGGCAAGGAAGAAACAGAATTTTATGAGATTTGGGATAAGTGGTTAGAACAGAGAAACAAAAATGTATAGAAATAAATGTAGATAACTGTAAGAGACACATGACACAGTAATGTTAAAAAATGCTTATTGTTGTGTAAATTGGAAAAATGGAAAATTAAAATTATATATATATTTTAAAAAGGACGCCAGACACGAGGTGCAGGTTTTGATTGCTTTTTATTGGGGTACCCCCAAGGAAAAGGGCTCCTGGCCAAAATGCCAAGAGAGCCAAGAACAAAGGATTACGAAAGCTTTATACATTTTCACTAAAGAAGGCGGGATAATACAGTGGTGGGATTTAAATAATTTAACAACTGGTTCTCTGCCCTAATGGCCAGCTGGTAGGCATGGCTTGGACATGTGGGCATGGCCAACTCAACGTCACATCGATGGGCGCTTCGCCTTAGCTGTTACAATGTAATAAGGGTTAACCAGAGAGGCAGTTTCTGTAAGCAAGGCAATAAAGATTAGGCTAGAAATAACACCAGAATGTTTCCTTCCTGCCTTCCTTACAGGATTAGCCCTGTGAAGTGGGAAAAAAACAAAATAAGATTTCTTCCAACAACTGATTCTCGGAACTGCTTAGGTTCTCCCGAATAAGTGCAAACTGGCTGAATCCCATCACTGGGATAATAAGAAATATCTAATAAACATTCTAGTAATAATTCTACAATTTGTTCTATTGGTCTCTAGCTGTCCCTATTCCTAAACCTTGGCTAATGAATGCTCCAGGAGTTATCTAACAATACACCTTTTATTTGCTGCAGGCCATCTCTATTCCTAAGTTTTAGCTGAGGTCTGCAAGTTGCCTAACTTGTTACTTTTATCAGCTTTCTAACTACCCAGAATTGTTACAAGCTTTACACATGCATATTTCCTGTGGATAAGCCAGACAGACTCCACAATTAATGTCTTCCTGACTTACTTTCAAGTGTGTGTCACGACCTGGCTTTATTTTAGCAGATAGCCCATCAATGTGATTTGGGAGATGGAAACAGCGGACAAGACAATTGTCATGCAAAAGGGATCTCGGCCCATAGAAGGAAGGGGAGTATTGTAAACTTTGACCCTCCCTGGGGAGGTTTTCTGGAGAGTAAAAGGAAAGGAGGGGAATTGTGCTTGTTCTATGCCTTGTTGAACTTTGACTTCTGAAGCCTGAAGACTATTAATCATGGAGCAGATCATGTGCTATATAGGTAACCAGGCAAATGACTAACATTATCCCTTTCTTTCAAAAGAAAGATATCCAGACTTCTGTAGTACAATATTGCTTAAAAGTCCCAGTCGGAAGACCAAACTATTTGTCAAGAAAGCAGCAATATCACCAATGAGTTGGCAACAGCAAAGACATTCCCAATGGAGAATCAGAATACTAAAAAGGTACTTTTCGAGTGTTCCAATACTCAACGTAACTTGTATTTGGGGCATGGAAACCCAATCAATAGCATGAAGAAGATGGACTCTCTCTTCACAAGTGGCTCATCAGACACCCCAGCAGCAACCTTGTGTACAAGCACTGCCGTGCCTAAGAGTTTGGGAAGCACCCTGATAAACAATCACCCTATCGTCATGAATGATACAGATCATTTAACAACTCCCAGGAGAAAATCAGAAGAGAATACAAATGTTGAAATTGCAAGTAACCAAGTTACACCGTATAGAGGCTTGTCTGACAGTACGGCAGTTGGTTATAAAATTAACCCAGAGTTTTCTACAAGCCAGAATAAAGGTAAGGATTATGAATATCGGGGATGGTTGGGAAAATACCATCAAGCAGCTAGCATTCTGAAGAATAGTATATTCATAACTTACCTCTGCTATGCAGCAGAATTAGGATTCCAATAGAAAAGAATCTCTACTTCAGGGATGAACTGTGGGGTCCTTTGTGCTCTCTGAGCTTGCTTGCTTGCTTGCTTGCAGATGTTTTACTACCCAACTGGGTTATGTCAACAGGGTGAGTGAGTGTGGTATTTGCTGCTTTTTTATATTCAATAGTTTGCCCTGCCAGTGAAGATGCAGTTTCTTTCTTCGTAGCTCCTTGATAAGAGGATGGTTTTCTGCTTGATTGTCTGGTGCTGATCCCTAATCAGATTCTGGGGGAGTGGGGATGTTGTCTAGTTTTTTTGTTTCCTTTCTAGGAGTTTTAACACTCCCTTTTGAATGGCGTGTGAATGTGGTTTATCTCTATGTGTCTACTGTTTTGATCTGTCTGTATACCCTGTTTCCCTGAAAATAAGACATCCCCTGATACTAAGCCTAATCAGGCTTTTCAGCGCATGCACTAAAATAAACCTTCCCTCCCAAAAAATAAGCCCTCCCTGAAAATATTTAAACACAGAGCTAGAAATCAGGTAAGACGGCAAGAGGAACCCCATCTTGCTCCACAATAAGACCTCCCCGAAAATAAGCCCAAGCGCTTATTTCGGGGTTTAAAAAAATATAAGACAGGGTCTTATTTTCGGGGAAACACGGTACCAAGCTTCCACTAACTGTCTAGATTCTAGCGGTTTGGCTTAATTTAAGATTTGGCTTGATCTAAAATGCTAATAGTTGCCCAGTTGAAATTCTGCCTTAATCAGTCCAGAGTTAATCTTAATCTCACTGGCAGGGCAAGTTATTGAAATGCCTGCAAACAAACACCTAAATTCAGAGAGAACCACAGCATAAGATTGACTGAATATGGAAAATTAGTAAGATTGTGGTGTTGTGGGTATTTTAACTCTTATCATCCCGAAATTAAGAAGAATACTAAAGGTTTTTCCTCAATGAAAGTGGGTTTTTGAATGGCTTTTTCTGTGTTATCTTCATTGGGTGTTTCTTATAGCCTGCCTTTGTTTTAGAGGAATTCAAGCATGTATTGAAAAAATTAAGACGACGGTCTACAATTGGAGCACGAGGTTCTCCAGAAAATGATTCTCTCATCCAATATATGGCTCGGCAAAGGAGAATGAAGGCGCAAGAAACTTTGTCACAAGTAAGTGTGATGCGCAAAAATGTTTTAGGTCGAAATGAGCAAAGATTAATATCTGGGATGCCAAACTCCAGATAACTGCTGGATGGAAAGGAAAAAAAAAAAAGATTTTTGTAGCCCAGATCAGGTAACTGTATCCACATTGGACATGGATGATAGAATCAGATCCAGTTGGGGGAAAAAAATAGTTTGGCTATTTTGACAAAATGTTTTGGAAGCTTGTGTTTTCAGAGAAGTATTGATTCATTCCTGAAATCTAGCATAGACTAAAAGCATGTGATGAGAAGGTCATGCTTTGAAGATTCAATTGCTGATTTTAACAGGGATCTATTTTGGAGTTTTGATTTAAGAGGCAAATTCAGATATTGGTGGATTATTAAACTTTCAGTTTGCCACTGGGTGGCGATGGTGTATTTCCTTCCATGCAGGAGGTCTTTCCCTTATTCCCTTTTCCAAGTAGGTGCTGACAGGACTATTGCTCTGGAACTGAAAGGCATTTCAAAAGTCCTGGAGCATCTAACTGCATTTTATGTTTTACTGGCTGGATTTGGGTTTTGCACTAAGCCATAACTTGGTTTGTTCAATATTCCTTTAGGATAGCATATGGATCTAATTCTAGAGATCCGTATACCATGGCTTACAATTTAATGTTGTAGATGAAGCCAGCGAAATGTAGCTTATCAACCAACAATTGTTTAAAATCTATCTCCCGTAAATAAATAAATAAATACATAAATACATGCTTGCATACATACATGCATACATACATGTGTGTATGTGTTTATCTGTATGTATATCGAGATAAGGGTCTGTATATTATGGCTTCTAATTTAATGTTGCGGATCAGAGGTCTCCAACCTTTTCTGCTTCTGCGGCCTGGTTCTGAATGGCTGCAGCTCAGCACTAGGTCATGGACCTGAGCACCCCTGTTGTACATGAAGCCAGCAAAATGTAGCTTATTCAATCAACAGTTGTTTAAAATCTATCATAAATAATACATACATAGATGTATATGTATATAAAGCAGACTTTGAGTAAGTAATAATGTGACACTTTACTGAAATAAAACTTAAATATTTGGATTAGTTGTGTATAATGCAAGCCCTCTATATGATTCAACATAAGTAAATTCGTTTAGGGATTTCTCAAGTTTGCCATAACATGGGGAAGTAGGGGGAAAGAAAAACTATTCTGTAATAATACTTATTTGGATATTTCCTTGTATTTTGAGCAGTCCAGCCCTTGTCAATATCGGAACACGTTGCTGAAAGACAAAATAGCTGCCTTCCAATCCTCATTTAAAGCCCTTGAAGAAATTGAAGAAAAGGCAGTCCATATTCCTTCTACTTGTAAGTAACCCACATCTAATCTCAGTTATAAGAAGCATTTTATTATTGAACAAAGATTTGTTAAAGAAGTACAGAATATTTTAACCAAAATGTTTTTTTTTTCCTGGCTTAAATTACGATTTATTTATTTTTTTGGAGGTGAAGGATATTGCACTGAGAGAAACTGAATGATGAGTTGCATTGTAGAAACTTGTATAGCTGAAAAAACTCAGTCCTTTACAATGGGCATTATTTAGTAATGTTTACATCTGTGTTGAATGCAGCAAACACAAGACTGCATGAGCAATCAACGTTGAGCCAGACATGGTCCCAGGAGGATACGAATAATGCTTTTGAAGAAAACTTAAATAATAAATCTATGAACGGAGATGGTATATCAGTAGATATCCAGATGCACAGTCCCAGATTTCCATCATGGAAACCCCTTCTGTCTGGCACAAATATTATGTCTAAGGTACGAATTATAGATATCTCTATAGAGTTAGGTAGCATTGTATGACTTTGCCAACTGTGTTTCTTTTCAATCTATCAAAGATATAGTCTCAGTTATTCCATGGAAGAGAAGAACAACTAGGATGATTAGGGGATTGGAGACTAAAACACGATGAACGGTTGCAGGAACTGGGAAAGAGAAGGACCAGGGGAGACATGATTGTAGCATTCCAATATTTGAGGGGCTGCCACAGAGAGGAGGGGGTCAATCTGTTTTCCAAAGCACCTGAAAGCCAGACAAGGAATAATGGATGTGAGCTGATCCAGGAGAGATTCAACCTAGAAATAAGGAAAAATTTTCTGACAGAGGAATCAACCAGTGGAACAGAAGTTGCCTTCGGAAGTTGTGGGAGCTTCATCACTGGAGGCTTTCAAGAAGAGATTGGATTGCCATTTGTCAGAAATGGTGTATGGTCTCCTGCTTGGGCAGGGGGTTGGACTAGATGACCTACAAGGTCCCTTCCAACTCTGTTAATCTAATCTAAGTGTAGGAAATGAAGCAGATTTTAATTTCCTTTTCTTAAATTTTCCTATGGCCTTAATCTTAGAAGCTAAACAACCAGCGAATGGATTGGTAGCACAGCAGCCTTTCTATTTCCCCACTCCCAATAATTTTTCTGCATTGTTTTGAATGGCTACATCCCCAAACTCCAAAGATGGCCATTGATCACATATTAAAACTAAAATAATGCGTCAGAATTGAAACTTGACTTGTGTGTTCTCAGGCCGTTCTGGTCTCACCAGCGAACGCTGTGGAATCTACACGTGTATCTTTGGTAGCTACTCCAAATACGGGCATATCAAAGAGTCAGAGTGGTAAGAATGAACTTGCATGTTAAGGCTTTATTTTAATACAAAAAGATGTGTAGGGTTTCTTTCTGGGTAAAAGCAAAGACAACAATACTGTAGTATCCGTTTTGATGATGATTGATTTTATAGCAAGTCTCATTCATTGTGTTTTTGTAATATTGGCCACAAATATGAAAATGGTACACGAATAGTTTTGAATGCTGACTTATCTTTGTAAGTTAACGCATCCCACCAATTCCTAGAAACAGTCCACTTTCCAAATATATTGAACAATATCTGCAGTTGTTCCTATCAATATCTTCAGCGATGCCCGATTAGAAATGGCCGCTTAATAACAACAAATTAGTTAAGTTAAATGTTCGTGTACAGGTAGTCCTTGATTTACAACCCAATTGAGGCCAAAATTTCTGTTGCTAAGCGAGACAGCTAAGTGAATTTTGCCCCTTTTTTTGACTTTTCTTGCCACATTTGTTAAGTGAGTCACTGCAGTTGTTAAGTTAGTAACACGGTGATAAAGTGAATCTGGCTTCCCCATTGACTTGGCTTGTTAGAAGGTCGCAAAAGGGGATCACATGACCCCGGAACACTGCAACCGTCACAAATATGAGTCAGTTGCCAAGAACCTGTTATTTTTGATCACAGGGATGCTGCAACGGTCATGTGAAAATGGTCATAAGTCACTTTTTTCAGTGTCGTAACTTCAAAAGTGTCAGCGTTCCAAGTACGCGTTTCCACCCATAGAAAACAAAACTCCGAGGCAGGCGAGTTCCTCAAAGAACAGTTTATTGGATACATCATATTGGTACAACTGGTGAAAGCCGACTCTGAAATTTCCCGCAGCTTTCACCTAATTAAAAAATAAAAGCTTCCCCTTTCCCCCAAGTCACTGGTCCCGCTGTCCAATCAAAGTGCTGGCCAGTTGCTTGGTTACTTCACTCCTCCTCTGGCCGGCCACCTGTCAGAATGTCCTTGGTTCCCACTGGAAAACTTTATTGTTTTGGCTACAAAACCCCATCTAACTATTTCCCACCCTCCCATCATTGTGTGGCAACCCTGAATCCTCCAAGATGGCTCCAGCCAGGTTCACTAAACCAGGTTGACAAAAAGTTCACTAAACAGATGGTTGTTAAGTCGAGGACTACTCTGTAGTCACTGAATCACTGATGGAAGCTGCCCACTAAGTTCTAGTCACCGGAGTCCAAAAGTTGTTGAATTTAAATGCAGCATGAAGGCTGATCACAAATGTTTAAGCACATTATTGCTTATAAGCTGCAAAGGAAAGGGAGAACCTTATTTTAGCAATGGACACATGTTCTGTGGAGTTATTTCTGGCTTATCATTGAGTGAGTGTTGTCATAATTGCTTGCAATGTGGTTTTTGTTGTACTGTGGAGGTGAAGACAAAGAATTGAGCAGAAGCGACACATCTCAACCCAGCGGTAAGAAGGTTCGGTTTTCAGAAAAGCAGAGCTTGGAAACCTTTGACGAAAGCAAACCACCCGTTACACCTGTGGGAAAAGGCCATTCATTTCCCAATTCCCTTCGTTCAGTTCTGAAGAAAACACCAGTCAAAATCGTAGCGGAAGGCTTGAAGGTTGGTGTTGAATTATTAACTATACGTTTATTTTCTCTGGCAAATCTTCAACAAATACCTTGAAACCAATTAAAGAACCTTCTTCAGGTTTTTCAAGAACTTAATGCTTGAAATGTTGCTTGCTTGTTAAAGGATCTTCAAGGATCATCAGGGGAAATGGCCACACCGATATGTCCTGGATCTTTTGACCCTGAAGGTGAAGATGTGTTCCTATATTTTTTACAATTTGTATTTTAGTATTGGTCTGCTAGAGAACCAGACTCTAAATATTAGTGTTAATATTTAGATGCCTGGGTGGCGCAGTGGATTAAGTGCTGTTAAAGTAGTACTTAGCTGCCAGCTGCCTGCAATTACTGCAAGTTCAAATCTCACCAGGCTCAAGGTTGACTCAGCCTTCCATCCTTTCGAGGTAGGTAAAATGAGGACCCGGATTGTGGGGGCAATAAACTGACTTTGTATAAAAAGGAACACCGCTTGGGGGGGGGCGAAAGCCCTACTAAGCAGGTATATACAAAAGTATGAAGGCTATTGCTTAACGCATTGTAAGCCGCCCTGAGTCTCTGGAGAAGGGCGGCATATAAATGTAACAAATAAAATAAATATATATAAAACCCTAAACAGCATAGGCTCAGGTCCCCTCAGAGTGTTTTGATTTTATTTTTTATTATTGCATGCTACCTTGAATTCCTTTGGCAATTTAAATGGCTAATTGATTGATTAAATAAATAGATAACTCTATTAGCCTACCGGGGAACTTGCCCTCTGCACAATAACTTAGAAACTGCTTTTTGGTGTTGATGTAGAAATAGTTTAGCAGCAATACTTATCTCACAGAACAGCCTCTGCTTTGTGTTGTGCTGTACCATGTGCGTACAGTATGTGCCATGTGTGTTTGTGTGCATCTACGAGTCACTTTTGACTCCTGTCTGACAAAATTCTGCAGTTTTCTTGGCAAGATTTCAGAAGTGGTTTGCCATTGCCTTTTTCCTAGAGCTTAGAAAGTGTGTTGGCCTAAGGTCACCCAAATGGCTGCATGCCGAAAGTGGGAGTCGAACTCGCAATTTCCTGGTTTCTAGCCGGGTGCTTTAACCATTACCCCATACTGCCTCTCATATGTGCCTTAGGCATCTGTTAAATCTTATCTTCTTATGCTGATCTTTCCCAGCCATTGCAACTATGTAATTTTTGCATTCTCTTTTTTCCTTATTTAAAAATACATTATTTCAAACTGCACTTGGGTTTTAAAAATAAGTTGTACGTGCTTCTAATAAAGCAATTACCATACATCTTGCTGAAATAAAAGCCAAAGATTTGTGTCTAACGTAATTTTTGTTCATCTTTAGAAAGAAAACCTAATTCTCCTGACCGTCAGGCTCCTTTGATTAGAACCACTCGAAACTCTGCTAAAAGGAAGGTATAAATAAAAAGGAATATCTCATAAGTTGATTGACAGATATAAATGTTTTGCAGTTTTGCTGGAACTTTCCATTCTCTTTACAGATACCTGTTTGAAATACAGGTAGTCCTTGACTTACAACAGTTCATTTAGTGACCGTTCAAAGTTACAACAGCACTGAAAAAAGTGATTTATGACCGTTTTTCACACTTACGACCTTTGCAACATCCCCATGGTCACGTGATCAAAATTCAGATGTTGGTTCATATTTATGACGCTTGCAGTGTCCCGGGGTCATGTGCTCCCCTTTTGTGACCTGACAAGCAAAATCAGTGGGAAAGCCAGATTCAGTTAACAACCGGGTTACTAATTTAACAACTGCAGCGATTCACTTAACAACTGTGGCAAGAAATGTTATAAAATGGAGCAAAACTCACTTAAGAAATGTTTCACTTAACAACAGAAATTTTGGGCTCAATTGTTGTCCTAAGTCTAGGACTACCTCTATTTATTTTTCACTAAGGCTATTTGGCAAAAATGTTCAGTAGATGAGAATGGGAAATCTATTGCATATCTCTTCTGTTTTGAAAATTCCAAATTTCCAAATTTCCAATTCCTGTTTTGTGTGGTACTGTTTCTTTGCACATTCCTGTTTTTATAGTTCCGTATGTAAGATATAGTTTACGTACAGTAGCAGGCCCTGTATTTTAATACATATATTTCCCAATAGTGTGTAGTGCAAGCAGAAGAAAAAAAACTTGCAATCAAAACTGAAGCCCAGAATCAGCTCAGCAAATTGCAGAAAGCCAAAACTTCAACCAAATGCCCCCAAAACCCGGTAAGTAATTGACATTATAGATGTATGGAGTTTATAGTCGTTTGTTTGTTTGACTTACTCGCTGTCCATCTCGCCTCAAGGTGACTCTCATAGTGGTATTTGTGATGGTTGCCTTCACACATTGTCCTAGGTCGGAATTTTTTTTAAAAAATACATTTGTTAAACACTTTGTTGATGATTTATTTGTTTACATCCCACCTTTATCATTTTAATAAGTAATTCAAGGCAGCAAACATACCTCACATTCCTTCCTCTTCTTGTTTTCTCCACAACAACAAACCTGTGAGGTGAATTGGGCAGAGGGTCACCTGGCCAGCCTTAGATGGAACTAGAACTCTCAGTCTCCTGTCCCAAAGGTTTTTTTTTTCTTCAAGAGGCAACTGGACTTCCTGGTTTTTTCTTTGAAGACGGTTCACTTCTCATCCAAGAATCTTCTTCAGCTCTAACTGGATGGTGGGGAATGGAAGGATTTATACTCCTTGCAGACAGGTGGTCATTTGCATCCTTTTAAAGAGTCGTTGATGCATTTGGAGGGTTATCTGTGTCCTCAGGGTCACCTGAATGATGCAAATTGGTGTGGAGCCTTCTTGGACCTGTTGAAAGGATACAAACTTCTACAACAGATAACCACACGGATAAATCTCCAGGTGACCGTAACGACCCGCTAAAAGAATGCAAATAACCAGCTGTCTGCAAGGAATATAAATCCTTCCATTCCCCCCATCCAGTCAGAGCTGAAGAAGCTTCTGGGATGAGAAGCGAACTGTCGTCAAAGAAAAAAGCTGAAAGTCCAGTTCCCCCTTGAAAAAGCACCTTTGGGACAACCATGACCTGAATGACTGAGAATCTCCATAAGACTCTCAGTCTCCTGGTTTCTAGCCTTAACCACTAGACCAGAGGTCTTCAAACTTGGCAGCTTTAAGACTTGTGGACTTCAGCTCCCAGAATTCTCCAGCCAGCTATGCTGGCTGGAGAATTCTGGGAGTTGAAGTCCACAAGTCTTAAAGCTGCCAAGTTTGAAGACCTCTGCACTAGACCAAACTGGCGCTCTACAAATATAGCTCTATCTATACACGCTTATCACTTAGTAACCATTCAAAGTCACAATGAGCTACTCCAAGCTACTTATGACCTAGGGGCCTGGTGGCGCAGCAGACTAATAGCCTGTTATTAACATCCAGCTGCCTGCAATTTACTGCTGGTTCGAATCTCTCCAAGGCTCAAGGTTGACTCAGCCTTCCATCCTTTCTAAGGTAGGTGAAATGAGGACCCAGTTTGTGGGGGCAATAACCTGACTTTGTATAAATATACAAAAGTATGAAGGCTATTGCTTAACGCATTGTAAACCGCTCTGAGTCTCCAGAGAAGGGCGGCATATAAATCAAATTTAAAAAAAAAAAAAAGACATTGGGAGGGTGGCCCATATGGTCACTTGATTACATTTTGGGGACCCTGTAACCAGCCCACATTTATAGCCATTTGCAGTGCCTTGCAATCACTTGACTGCCATTTATGATGTTTTTGTCAGAAATCGCCAGCTACTTCCGATTTAGCAAAAAATAGTAAGCATAACAAATAAGGGGTTTACTTTATGACTGCCACATCCATTTAACGACCACCATAAAAATGGTCATCATAATTGCCAGACTCAATTATAGTTGTAAGTGGGGAACTACCCGTGTCATCTACAGTATATTTATTATCTTCTGTTATTATCTATATCCTTTGCTACAATTCAAGTCAACTGAACTGTGTGTTATATTAATCCTTATTGTGATAAGGTTAAGAAGAAAGCAAGATAAAAAAGCCGAGCCACTTCATGACATGATTTCATATGTAAATTTGTTTTCTGAATCCATAAGGAAGTGCCTAGAAACATTGACAATCTTTAGCACTGGATTAATGGGGTGTCTTCCCATTTATTTTCAGGCTGTCCAACCCAAAGTGGCAGGGAAAAGGAGGAGGGGGAGAAAGAAGAAACAGGAGCAGAAAGTATTTTACGGGCCACGCGAGAGAGTATCAAAGAAACCTCTCTTAAGTCCTATCCTAGAAATATCAGAAAATGCATCCTTTTGTTTTTCTTATCCAAATACGCCAACATTAAACGTTTCCACCTCAGGTATGTAAAGTTACAGGCTGCCTTTCTTCATCTTTTCTTTAACTAGTGGATTAACAAGGCTTCTTCCGTTGCTATGTGAGAATAGATCACAGACAAAGTTAAAAGAATGAAACACTAGAGACAGGAACTAGAATTCTGTCCAATGTGGGTGGACGTTATAATTCATTGCAATTGCAATAGGACTACTACTGATGACAGTTTAGATATACGATAAATAGTAATATCTATGTTGTTTGTGTTGTCAGAGTATTTTTCAAGCTGGATCTTCTTTCTCCTAAGTATCATGGATTTATTTCATTTAGCAATGAAAAGAAAAACAAACAAACAAACATGAATTGTATGCATAGGTAATGGAGATTTCATAATATAAGCACATTTGTTTCCACCAACAAAATCTTAGGATGTGTTGGCCAGTCAATTTAAAAATAGCTTAGCCATATGCATTACGGGTAGACCTTGGCTTACCACCACAATTAGAATTAGAACTTCTGTATTGTTAAGTGATGCAGTTGTAAAAGATCTATCACGTGGCCAAGCCTGATTTTACTGCTCTTTTTTGATGTGGTTGATAAGCAGATCTGGCTTCCTCTATTGACATTGTTTATTGGAAGCTGTCTGGGAAAGGTCTATGACAATTCGCTGCGGCCAACTCACTGCAGGACAGGACTTACACTAATATAAAAGAAATGGTGGAATAGAATCACAAAAGAAAGGATGCAAAAGGAGGGACAGAATGAAATGTGAATGGCAAAAATAAAAATATTTTTTGTATTTATTTTAAATAAGTCAACAGAATTGTTAAATTGTCCCACAGCGAGCTGGCCCATGGCTTTTTGGCTGTGGCGAGTTGGCTGTGACAATTGTCCCATTCCAGTCTGGGAAGGTTGCAAATGGTGATTGTGTAACCCCCCTGCAACTATCATAAATACATGCCAGTTGCCAAGCGTCCCAATCACAATCACATGACTGTAAGGACACAATCATAAGTGTGAGAATTGGGTGTAAGCAGCTTTTTTCAGTGCCATTGTATCTTTGAATGGTTGCTAAACACATGGTTATAAGTCAAGGACTCCCTCTATATACTTTACATTCATTAGTAAATGAACGTAAAGTACTGAATGACCCAGGACTGCTGCCTAGGATAATAAAATATTTCAAAAAGAGGCAAAGTAAACAAGGAAGGCATAAGTCAGGAAGCTGTTTCACAAAGGGCCAGATTGCAATGAACTGACTTTGGTAAGAGAACAGGAGAATATAGCATGCAAAACTCTCATAGCTAGTGGTGAAAATAGCTAGAAGGAGGATATTATAAGACAAAATGTCTTTAAAGCAATGGGGTTGAGTACCTTGTGTTAAATCTAGTTTAGTACAATTAGATGACAACACATTCTGATTTGTTCATTTGAAACTTTGTTTTAGACGATTCTTTAAGTGACCTGCATGCTAAGTTTATCGATGAAACGGCTGAAGACAAAAAGAGTCTACCTTATGCTGTAGGAGTGGACAGCTATGATCAACATTCTACCCCTCAGGAAGAAGGTGGCTTAGCTAATTCATTCGTGCAGCTTCAAGAACTTGCTCTGAAGAATAGAAAACAATGGCTTCCTGGATGCGTGCCCGAAAAAATCTCTCCTGAAAAACTGAAGAGTTCTTTAAATGGAAATGAACAGGTGGTAGGAAGGGACTGTCTGTCGAGTAGGACAGAAATGCAGCTGGTGGAGTTACTGAACATCTGTGGACCTAGTAAAAATATCAAGGCTAAAGAAAATTCATTTTTCACCGTAGATTTTACAACGGAGGTAATGAGTGAAAGCAACGGGGTGAACTTTGAAAGGAACCCAAAAAACAGCAGAAGATTGACGGAAGACTTTCTGAGCATCGAGGGCGCTGAGCCAAAAAGCCCTGGAAACAGCACTGGTGTTCCTGGAGGAAACCTGGGTGGGTTGCCACCTTGTTCTTGGACAGCAGATGACATTGCACTCTTAAACCATTTTGAGGAAAACAGGAATGTAACAAAAAAAGTAAGACGCAGCATGAGGGGTCTGAAAGATGCAGAAGGTGAGGGCCTGGCCTGGGTTGAGATCCCTTGCAAAGTCCCCAAAAGGCTGTCATCTGCTGGTCCTCAAGAGTCAAAGCACGCAGTGAGTAGCCCATATGGACCAAAAAGAAGAAGGAGCTTCTGCGCATTGGATGCTGAAAAAGATCAAGGTGTCACCGCCAACGTTCGAAGGAATAGAAGAGCCAGTCTGGGTTACAAAAGTGACCTTCGCTATCGAAAAACCTTTGAAATGAGTACATTCTTAATGAATCCACCTGCTCTTGTTTAAATTAAGATGCTGTCCAAAATGGGAATGTGTGAAAGATTTTGCTTCAGCCATTCAAGTTACGCAAAGCTTTTAAATGTCGTCATTCAGATGTATTTTTTAAGAATGCATAGACCTTTGGCTTTTTCCCTTTCCATTGTTTTTCCCAAAAAGAAGTAAAGAGAAAAACTAAGGGAACTAAAAACAAACGGAGAAAGGAATGGCAATCAAATAGGTTCTACTCAGAAGAATTGGAAATTTAAGACTGCACCTAGCTGTCAAAACTGATCCATTGTAGGAAGTGTGGTTCTTATTACCGACTGTTGAATGGAATTCTACCAGAAATGTGGATAAGAGTTAAAATCAAGCACATAACCCTGGAAACAGGTGTCCAAACATTTTGAAGTGGACATCATTAAAGTACTAAAAGAATATCTTGGGTGCTATGACTCTTGGATGGCAGGGCAGCCCCAAGTGTTCTGTCTTCCTTTCTCAAGATGTATAGCTGTGCATGAGTTTTATGCATCTATAATGATGGGTGTTTCTAAACACTTTTAAAGTTATTGCATCTTTAATTTTGTGAAAAGCACTGTATATCATCACACTGGGAGTTTTGTTTTTGCTTTTTTTAAAAAAAAAAATAGTGAAGTGACAAAATTTAGGTGAATAGAGATGTATTTTAATCCTTTTCCAAGCAGGGCAGGTCTGTGGCAATCAAGGTGGTGATTGCTCTAATTGTCTTTAGCATCAATTAGAGAAATTAAACTCCCCGTTTAACGCTACTGTTGACTTAGTAGGCATCTAAGAAGAAAGACATCACTTGGGTTGAATGGCAACCAGACTGATATACAAGCTAAAGTGTGATGAAGTATTTTCTGGCTAAAATAGAGTGAAAAGGAGCAGGGGCATGTTTAGAGGAGACATTAACTTATACTTTCTAGCTGATCATTTGTTATAGATGAGTTTAGCTATGCTTGGCCCATTTCCCTCCACTATTTTAGTTTATTCTTGTTTCCTTTTTTTTCATCACCTAGAAACCTCAAGGCTATTTCTTAGATGGAGAATGTTGATTCTCCATCTGTATAGACATGAAATGCATCAAGAAATAAAATAGCAGGGGCCAGATTGGCATTGGGCCTCAATTCAGCAAGATCTACACGCAGCTCGCTATGGGTTTAAAGAGTAACAAGAAACCTTTTACTAGATCCCGGTTTCTTTTTGCCTGACTTGCTATATCAATGAGATTTTCTCTTTTGACACCTACCATTGAATATGAAGAAATAAAAATAAAATCCACATAATCCTTATTTCTTTGCGGGACAGTGGCAAGAATAAATTAAGACTGTAGCGACTTTAAGATGTGTGGACTTCTAACTCCCAGAATTCTCCAGCCAACAGGCTTTGGATCCATGCTTCTCAACCTTAGCCATTTTAAGATGTGTAGACTTCAGTTCCCAGAATCCTTCTGTCAGCATGCTGGCTGAAGAATTCTGGGAGTTAAAGTCCACACGTCTTAAAGTTGCTAAAGTTGAAAAATATTGTTTTGATTATATTTCCCGTAAGCCTTAAATAGCATACCCACTTGGGTAGACCTAACAATTGCTGGAAATATCTGTAAAATACCCTATTGGACATGTTGCTTTGTATATAATATTAACAAAGATATGGCTTCACAATTGCCTGTATAGAGTACGTCTTCTCCCTTGCTCTTCGAGATGTGATATGAGGCCATTCTTGTAGCACTTATGATCAAAGTTCTTCCATCTGTTACCTTCTCATCACCACCCTGTGTCAGCGTTCCAGAAAACCCCCATTCCAAATAAAAACTCTGAAGCAAGCATTTTTCAAAGTTCTATTTACTAGTATAGGTAAACTGGCACATCTGGGAAAACCTGAATCTGAGAGGTCCAGGGTTTCCCTCAGTAAATCAAAACCCCCAAAACCATCCTCTCACTCCTCAGTCGATCACATGCTCCAATCACCATCCGTCCCATCTCGAGACAGCACTCCGACCACTCCTTCTCCAGATCGGCCTGACCTTGACCGGCAGGAAGAATGCTACTATGTCTAAAGACAACCCCTCTACTAAATCCTCCTACTTTCCCACACATGAGAAGGTGGCAGTATGGAAGCTTTCGGCATAATAAGGCTTCCAAAGCTGACAGACGTGTGTCCCCCTGCAGAAAAAAACACACCCTGAAAAATAAAACGGACAAAACACAAAAGCTGGGGTTAACACCTTGTACATAACCTCTTAACCCCCGCCCCTCCAGGAGGACCCTTTGGTTTCTCAGGGAATTTATCATGAAATTGCTTTATTAGAGTATCAGCATTTACATCCCAACTTTTCACCCAAGTAGCTTCAGACAACGAGTACCCTTTCCAGTGTACCAAATATTGTAACCAACCCCTGTAAAGTCTAGAGTAAGGTGATCCCACCACTGGCTGGCCCCACCTCTTGCCCTCCCCTCCCAGTCACTTGCCTGGCCTGAGAAGGGTAACGGCAGGAGATGGTGAAGCGACCAGGGCAGAAACAGAGATACAGAGAGGGGAAGAGAGAGAGAGAGATACAGAGAGAGGGGGGGAGGGAGGGGAGAGAGATATGTCAAAAGGGTTTTGTGGTTCCCAGTGTTTTTTAACAACTGGTTTTCTTCCCTAATGACCGGGTGGGTAGGCGTGGCTAGGGGGTCATGTGACTGGTGGAAGTGAATGACATTGAGTTGGCCATGCCCACCCAAGTTTTGTGGCTCCTGGTATTTTGTTTTCTGTGAGAAATGGGTCCAAATGGCTCTGAGTGCTTAAGGTTGCAGACCCCTGCCTTAGATCTAACTTGATGAAAATCTTGCCTTTTGACAAGTGGTTCAGCAAGTTTTTCATTAGTGGTAGGGGGTAGGTATTTTGTATGCAAATGCAGTTTATGCCCCTAAAGTCCACACATAATCTCAGCCTCCCCCCCCCCAATCTTCTCTTTAAACAATATGGGGGCGGCCACCCTGGATTTCGCAGGCTCGATGAACCCTCTGGCTAGGTTGTTGTCAATGTACTTCCTCAGCTCGGTCATTTCAGCAGGCGTCATGGAGTACATCCTGGGTTTTGGCAACTTGGCTCCCGGTTCTAATTCGATAGCACAATCTGTGGCCCGATGAGGGGGGATGATGTTACATTCCTCCTCACTAAATGCTTCAGCTAAGTCTGTATATACCTTAGGAATCTGGGGTTCGCCTGGAGGCCTGTCTGAACCAGCAGCTGCTGTTTCTGGCAGCTGGCTTTTATGGGTAGGCTGTTCCTTGGGAGGACGGACAGGGGATAGTGGGCCGACACTCATTATGATTTTCCGGTATCCATCTTCCCATTTAATGGTGGGGGCCCATTTGTCCAGCCAAGCCAGGCCCAGTATGACAGATTCTCACTTCTTTGGGGTTACTATAAATTGTATAAGTTTATAATGTCTTCCAATTTCTAATCTAACCAGTTCTGTAATTTGGGTGGCTGGGACTCCTCCAATTAATGTCCCATCCACCTGTTGAAATTTAATTGGGCGCTTTAAGGCTCTTGTTTGGACTTCCAATTGTTCAACAATTGGAAGTCCAATTAAACATCTGGTACGGCCTGTATCTATTATTGCTGGCAGTTCTCCTTGCTCCCCTGTCTCTGGCACTACCAGTCTCTTTAATTGAAAAGGGGGGGATGGGTGAACTCACCATCAGGTCGTCTTCTCTGCTAGCCTCGTAGGGAGGGGCTTCTTTGGCCAGAGGTTCCTCACTCTCTTCAGTGGAGAGGGGAACCTCTACGGCTTGTCTGGCAAATCGACTGGTGTCTGGGGCCTTCCTTGGAGCCTTTCTGCCTCGGGCAGCCATAGCCAGACATGGAACTGGGGCAGGGGCCAGGCACTCAGAAGCTCGGTGCCCCGTTTGTCCACACCAATAGCATTTAATCACCCCTGCCGGTTGAGGAGGGGGAGACTTCAGCAGGCTTTGAAAGGGGCCATCTAGCTAAAGTTCTCCAAGGAGGCTTCTCTGCTGGGGTTTTGCGGTGGGGGTGAATTTCTCTGCCCAGAGTTATGGACATGGTGTACCAGTCGTGTAGTCGCTCAGGCAGCCCTCGGACCCCACAGGCTGTTCTGACTAATTGATCAATGGCCTCTTTAAAATAGTGTAGAAGTATGCGGTCCGGCCAATGCCCCAGGTTCCCTGTGACCCATCTAAAGTCCCATACAAAGTCTTTTATGGGTCGATTACCTTGCTTCATCACCTTTATTGTGGCTTCATTTTCATTGATTCGCTCTGGGTCTTCAAATCTGGCCTGTAGCAGCGCAACAAATCCATCGGCATTATTTAGTTCCGCAGCGCCCTCATTGTGCAGCTGGGCTATCCATTCAGAAGTCTCTCTTTCATCCTGTCAGAAATCGCTGATACCAAGTCCCGGTTTGATTCGTATTGGTCTCCATACTGATCTATATGAGCCTAGACCCTGCTGAGGAGATAAGTCAGTTTGGCAGGCTTACCATCAAATGTTGCTCTGAAGTGGGGTGACATTGGCTTTGCAGGTGGATTGGGCCTGGTGACGGGTGGCTGAGCTGGAACCTGTGGCGGAGCTGCTGCTGGTTGCTGGACGGCAGCCTGCTGAGGGAGACGGGCCGACAGCTGAGCTGCTTGTTGGGCTACAAAGTTGGGCGAGGGAAACTCCAGTCGGCTGCTGGATTAGCACCCCCTGCGGTGCTGGGATTGTTGGGCCATATTGGGGCCATGGGGATCACTGGAAAATTGGATCAGATGATGCTGGATACCACTGGCACTGGACCCACCCCTGGCCGGGATAGAATCCCCAGCCTGGGGGGGATACATTCAGCAGGAGGTAGCACAAAAGCAGTCTGGCGAGAGGGCCAGCAGGGGGTTTTTGCATTCCCCAAGCTGGTTGTGTCTGATGTCTCCCATCTGTGGGATGGCCATGCTGTGCTGAGCTGCTCCTCGTTTTGAGAGGTGCCTGCACCGCTAATTCGTCTGCCAGGTACTGGATTGGGGAAAGTGAATGTAGTTTGCGCTAAGCTCCATCTCACTTGAGGAGGTTGGGAGGGATGTGCATAACTTCCCACTTCCACTGTTCAAAATGCTCAGGGAACCCAGTTAATGATTGGCTTCGCGATGTGGGCAACAGGTTCCAGTCCCGGGAATCTCCAGATCCCAAAGCTGTCCCCCTCCTCCACTCTGGCTCATGGGGTGACTTCATTGGGCTGGGAGTGGCATGGTATCCAAGCGGTCTCTCCTCTGGTCCCTTTCTGGAGTTGGATCAGACTGGCAACTTTTCCAGGAATCCGACTCCTTGGGCCGAGCGCCTAGTCTTCGGGCCTCCTCCGCAGCCTCAATGGATCGCACCATTTCTTCAGAAGGAGAAAACAGGGTGTCGCTAAATCCTTTGAGTATCCATCCCATGGTTTGCAGCATGGAAGCTTCCGGCCTAATATGGCTTCCAAATTCCACCCTGATTCACTGCAATTGTGCACAGAGCCGAATGGGCTACTGTTTTTATTTACCAGTCCAGGAAGTTGGGTATTGCTTGGATCGGAGCTGCCTTTAGAACAGTAAAACATAGCTCTGATTTGTAATTTCTAGTTTTGTGGGGGATCAAGTTTTGACGTTCCCAGTTCAGAAGGATATTTGTCTTTAATAAAAAATAAAAAAAAAAGTTTCTGCATATTTTAGTTTCGTAGGTTAAGCAGTCAATGACCCCAGAGCCTTTTATTGCTACCAGAAGGCAGAAAATAAATACATGTCATTTCAAAACGAGGTGTTCCTTTCCAGTTCTGATGGTCTGAAATGCGCATTACCTTAAATCATTTCACCTTTTGCATTTCAGTTTTATGGATGCTGTGAAGCGCTCTTGACTGTTTTTGTACTGAGGAGCAGTAGGTAAAACGTGGGTGGGTCGGTGGGGAACGGAGAGGTTCACACTGTGTATACATGATTGAATGATAGATTGGGATCCATCTATCAGTCTTGGTTTGTTTCTACTGTACACTTACCTTTGGCATCAAAAGACAAGTTTGCTAATATACAAAGAAAGGTTGAGTGCAAATAATAAAGTAATGAATCCAAGATGACTCGGGAGATGTTAACAGCTATTGTTTAGCCTTTCAGTCCAAGTAATAATTGAAAGCTAGGCATTGTAACCTGAGCAAAATCAGGGCTTGAAGCGTAAATTAAAGAGTAAAGTAAATCTCTCTGAAACACTTAGCAACTTGCTCCCGATATATTTGGGACCCTTTGATTTGAAAATTGGCAAGAGCTTGTTCACTTCTGAACTATGTAAGTAAAACACTTCATCCAGTAACTGTAAGCCTCTGCATCTTTGAGGAACGAAGAATAGTGTATTTTAGAGCAGGTTTTATCAAAATTAATTTTTTTAGATGGGTGGACTTCAACTCCCAGAATTCCCCAGCCAGCATGCTGGCTGGGGAATTCTGGGAGCTGAAGTCTACTCTTAAAATTGCCAAGGTTGAGAAACGCTGCTTTACAGCTTCTGAAGGCTCTCAGCTCCCTGTTGTGGGTTTGGAGTCAAACACATCTGCCTCCCATTTGGAAAACCTGGACGAATGCCAGAAGGGCAACATGAATTTTGAACATTAACCGTTTCAAGCGTAGTTTCATTTTTCCTCTACTGGGAGAGAGATTGAAACCCAGGGAAATTTGCATTGTACTGCTTAGCAAAAGTTGCTAGCCGCAGGGGCACAAAGGCTAAATTCAGCTAACAATGCACAATTGAAATATTCACATAACATGTTGACGTGCAAACAATATATATTGACTGCGTGAACGAAGCGCAATATACCAAATAGTTTTGTTCCCACATCAAACTGAATTATCCAGCCCTCATGTTAGTCTAATCTTACACGGATGAATGTAAGAGCCTATCAGTGGCTTTACAAGTAAAGTTTTTTAAATCCTATTTTTGATCAGTGCTGTGATTTTGGGGAGAAGGATTGTTCATTTGTGGTTGGACATCCTTGCTTTATTCAAAAGACTTCTCTATCTCTATTTTTTTAAAATAAATAGAGCTGGGCTGAGGGCTATTTTTTTTTTTTCTTCTAATCTCAATTGTCTCCCGTGCACAGACCTGCAGTCAGTGGTGAAATGTAAAATTTGTTACTATCGGTTCTATGGGTTGGCTTGGTGGGGGTAATGTGACAGGGTGGGTGTGGCCAACTTTTTTTTTTAAAAAAAGTTGGCCGAAGAGGTTGTAAAAAAATGCTTTTAAAAGCCTCTGACGATCCCAGCTGAGTTGCCTGATCGTCAGAGGCTTTTCTTTCTTTTAAAAACATTTTTCTACAACCTCTTCAGCCGAAGAGGTTGTAGAAAAAATGCTTATAAAAATTAAAAAAAAAGCCTCTGATGATCGCGCAGCTCAGCTGGGCATGGGGGGGGGCAGGGATTTTTGCTATGGGTTCTCCGAACCATCCACCGCCATCGCTACCGGATCGAGTGATCCGGTCTGAACCGGGAGCATTTCACCCCTGCCTGCAGTACTTCTCAAAACAGAGATAACTTTCTGATTTCTGTTTGCATTTCTAGAAAAATCTATGGTGCCAGAAGTATCTTGGTGTGTTCTTTCTGATGTTCAGCTGTATAAAAATGAAAAATTCTTCGTTGTGCTGCATTATTTCTTGAGACAATGCTTTGATCGATTACAGGTAGTCATTGACTTACAATCATTTAGTTAGTGATCGTTGAAAGTTACAGTGGTACTGAATAAAATGGCTTATGTCTGGTCCTGACACTTAAGACCTTTGCAACATCCTCAACCACATGATCAAAATTTAGCCAAAATTTTACAGTGATTACCATACCCAAGGTCATATGATTGCTATTTGTGACCTTCCTAGCCGGCTTTTGACAAGCAAAGTAAATGGAAGAAGCTGCATTCCCTTAACGACCGCATATTTCATTTAACAAGTGCAGTGATTTGCTTAGCGACCATCACAAAAAAAAATGAAATCTGACTTGACTCATTTAACCACCAAAATTCTGGTTACAATTGTGGTTGTAAATTGAGGACTACCTGTATGTATATGCAAGTTTTCTTCCTTACAGTTGATCAAGAAGGTCTCTGGTTTTATTACTAGCATCTCCAATTTAAGATTTTGATAAGAGATGAGACTATCTGCTATGGAATATTTGGACTGGAAATAATTCATTAGAGCAGTGTTTCTCAACCTTTTAATTGTTCATTGATTTTAGTTGGGGTGTCCTATTTAGTCACACACAAGCACAGAGAGTTCAAGTGTTTATATGAGAGAGATAATCTTGGGGGAGCAGAGTTTCATAGTGAAATGTTTCATTTATCAAAGTCTCGGGTTCAAATGCTGGCACCTAAAAGGATAAGAGAAAACGCAAAGGACAGAACAGAAGGGAAAAGTTTCTCTTAATTTATACCTGCAGTCGTTAAACCAACCTCCACTCAGCTCCTAAATGCATGTGACTTTAGTTCTGTCCCTTTCTCTCGAGCCAACCTACCCAACAGGACTCTTGGTTCTAAAATGAGTTGGAAACCTTTGTGTATCTACTCGATACCCGCAAGAGAATGCAGGAAAGAAATGTCATAATGATTAAATAATTCCAATGTTCTTTCTCTCCCTCCGCGTTCTGTACAGACCCCTGTCTTTCCCAATGTCAGAATTCGCACTCACGCTGATGTCTGAAGACGGCTATAACTGCCCCACAGGGCTTAGGGGAAGGCATAACTTTGCTTTTGACACTTAGACCAGAAGGTTAATGTATTAGTTTTGTAATTAAACCTTGTAAATTGTGCATAACAGAGCAATTAACTACTTGAGCTAGTCTTTGGAGAACTCAAGGGAAATCTAGTATGTGATGGAAATAAAAATATGAAGCGTATTCCCTAACCGAGACCCAGAAAGGGGAAAAAAATTCTCAGTGTTGGTCTATTTCCAATGACCTCTCGCCTCCTCACTTCCTGCCCCCTGCACAGATTTGAAACTGGTCAGCCTTTTTCTGTTTTGTTTTCTTTTTTTTTTCAGAAAGCCAAGAAGACAGTTATAATGAATGACTTTTATTGTGCCATATTTCAATAGCGTTTGACTGCTTTCGGATGGAATGGAAACCGTTTCTACCCTACGAGGCTGCCAAAACAAACAAAACTGTGTTCCCCAACCCTCAATGTGTCCTTCACTCAAACTGGCAGGAGTTACAGTTCTACACTCAGTCTAGATTTGGTGTTGGACATTTTCAGCCCCAGACATTAAAGCCAAAGAAAATATAAGGCAGGGGGAGAGATTATATTTATCCTCTGCAGGTGAAACTCAGATAAGATCAGGACTCATAAAGTGCTTTTTGGAATACTTTCAATTTGTAGGCTTTACTGAAACAAACCCGGCTCAGAAGGTGCTTCTTTCCTAAAAGGCAGTTTGAGCGTCGCTCCTTGATGGGCGATAATGCCGAGCAGAGAATCAAAGTTTTAAATTTTAGGGAGTGCTTATGCAAGCCAAAATTTCCATAAATGTTTAAGTTGGGCAGATTTTACAGTTAAACACTCTGACGGCGATCAAATCCCCCGATAGATGCTTTCTCTGGACTAGTTTCCAAGTTCTGCTTTGTTTTAAATGCCCTCCTTATGAATAGTCGTTAAGGCTCTTTCTGCTGGCATAAATCACTTTGGTGATGAACGTCTATGGTTCAATAATCATAAAAAGGTATCACGCAATGCAACATCGGGTTTTATGGCATAACAACTGTATTTATTAATAAAAACTTATAACTTTTTGGCAGGGAGCCTACAAGGGCATTTAGGCACTGCAAAAAAGAGGTGAGCCAAAAATTCTCCACGTTTTAGGTAAATGTGGTGTTTCTAAGACTAATACCTTCCCGATAAAATCCCGATAAAATCACCTTCCCGATAAAATCTCCTTGGGCAAATAAAAAGTTAAGCAATCTAAACAATACTAACCAAGAAAAAGCAACTTAATTTCACTTAATAATTTAATCTCCAAATTTGTTGGCTTTGTTCAACTGTATGATGGAAGGTAATGTAGGAGATGATCATCAGTCATGAATCCTTTGCACCCACAAGAGATCAAAGTCCAGACCACCTTGAATTCCTTTCTATTCTTAAGTTCTAATTTCCCTTGACCGTTAGTAGTTCAGATTCTTGTAGAGGGCTTAATCAATCTTTATACTCATTTGAAATGCCTGGATCTCCTGATTTCCCTGGTGCTTGACAGGCAGCGCAAACAAGATTGGCATGTGCTCAGAACCTAGCCTGATCTGAATGTTTGGGAATTCCCCTTCAAGTCGGGGTAAGTTTAATTTCCATGGCCAATTTAGAAAGGAGGAATTATTATTGCAAGGTAATAAGAGTGTATTTCTCTAAATGCTCATGGGTACCTATATTTATAAATTAGACGAATTCAATCTATGTGTAGACACAAACGCACGGACATGTGGAGAGCTTATGCAAGCATGTCCAATCTTTGTTTAGCAACTGCCTTTAGCAACCATTTGCAGGTAGGATGGCGATGGAAAAGTAACTTTGCGATCAGTTTTTGCATTTATGACCTTGACAGGTGTTTAAAACTATGGAAAGTTAAAGCAAGTCCGTAAGCACAGTCACAATTTCATGTGACAACTATTTTGTGTAATGACAAAATTTTCAGTCCCAATTGTCGTTGTTAAACAAGGACTACCTGCATGAGCACATACACGTCATCTAAGTTACAAATTCTCTCATTACAGAGGAACCCTGGCGTTTGTATAATTGCACGTGGATAACTTGCCCAAACAATTACCTGCAAAATTAGATTCTGCCACTAAAACCCAACCAAGATTCTTGATTGCAATTAACAATTACTACAGTATCAAGAACATTGGTTGTTTCGGTCACAGGATATAATTTTGTTTATTTAGTAGGCGTGAGTTATACTCTCTGTTCTTCAGGATAAGTATTTCCAGCAGCGTCAAAACGACCTCTGTGCTGAAATTTTCATTTCTGCCTCCTTTGATATTCTCACACATTTTGACAGTGAAAGAAAGTGCCTTCATCCCCTTCAAGCTGCCCTCCAAAAGAAAAGATTTGCAGTGAAATTTTCATGGTTGGCATGTTGTATTTTTGTGCTTATTTCCTCACAAGCACGGGAGGACAGGAGGGTCAAATATCCCGTTATTCAATGTTTAATCTTCTCTCTCAATAAAGGAGAATATTTGTAGCTCAGGGTTGAAATGCGGGGTCCTTGGTGCTCTCTGAGCCAGCTTGTTTTGTTGCAGATGTTTCTTTGCCCAAACTAGGTAACATCATCAAGCTTAATGATGTTACCTAGTTTGAGTAATGACACATCTGCAAGAAAACAGATGTAGTACAGTGGCCTGATGCACTGTTATTAACATCTGCTGCCTGCAATTACTGCAAGTTCAAATCTCGCCAGGCTCAAGGTTGACTCAGCCTTCCATCCTTTCCAAGGTAGGTGAAATGAGGACCCAGTTTGTGGGGGCAATAAGCTGACTTTGTATAAAATATACAAAAGTATGAAGGCTATTGCTTAATGCACTGTAAGCCGCCCTGAGTCTCCGGAGAAGGGAGGCATATAAATTAAAGCAAACAAACAACAACAACAAAAAAAAAAACAAGCAAGCTCAGAGAGCACCAAGGACCCCTCAATCTTCTCTCTGATGTGCAACCCCCCCACTGACCTCTCATGGTTTCAGTGGAAGAATTGGAAGGAAACCCATTTTCCCTCCCCCTAGTTTCCATCCTTACCCTCTCCCATCTTCTCATCTTCCCCACCATGGAATCAAGAGGTAGAAGAAGTCAAGGAAGCCGTAGAGTGCTACAATGATGGGCAATTGGACAACACTTTCTGTTGCCATACAACAAGTCGGCCAGAACAACTCCATCACAAAAAAAAAGGAAGTACTTTTTTTTTTTTTGACTACTTCAGCTTCAACCACAACAATACACGAGCACACAATAGATACAAACTGAAAGTGAACCGCTCCAAACTCGATTGCAGAAAATATGACTTCAGTAACAGAGTTGTTAATGCCTGGAATGCATTAAAGGAAAGAGTGTGAAGGAATGAAGGGAGATAACAGAGACTCTGTGGTTTCATCCCCAAACCCCCAAAACTTTAACCTAAGACTGTCTACTGTTGACCTCACCCAGTGGTGGGATTCAAGTAATTTAATAACCGGTTCTCTGCCCTAATGATTTCTTCCAACAACCAGTTTGCCAAACTGCTCAGAAAGTTAACAACTGGTTCTCCCAAAATGGAGCGAACTGGCTGAATCCCACCCCATTCCTAAGAAGTCTGTAAGGGGCGTGCTTAAGCACACCAGCGTGCCTACCGTCCCTGTCCTAATGTTCCCTTTAATTGTATTCATTTTATGTATTCAATTCATGCTTATACTTATATATATTATCTAATATGTAGTCAACAAAATAAATAAATTAAATAAATAAATAAAATAAAGTCTATAGCCCCTAGAGGATGAGTAAGAAAAACAAGATCAGTCTGGTACACTGCCTTAAACTAAAACAATGCCTTCATTCAACTAGTAACTTCAAAATTTGTATCTCTGCTGGATATGGCTGGACATCTTGCATACTCCCAGAAAGTCTCTCTCTCTCTCTCCCTCTCTCCCTCCCTCTCTCTCTCTCTCTTTCCCCCCTCCCTCCCCCTTTTTCCCTTTTACTAATAACGTAATGTTGGTGCTCTGTCAGCAGATGCTGCTCAAATTCTGTCGATAGTCAGAGAAGTGCAAACATAGGCTGGTTAACTGGAAGGAAAGGGGCTCTTAGAAATGTCATTCCTGACCAAGAGTTTCTCTTCTGCTAGGTAAGTAGCAGAAGAGAACGCTTCTGCGTGCGCTTCACCCAAACCAGTGCGAACCGGTAGACGCCCACCACTGATCTTGAGTGTATAAACAGTTGTATATGTGTGCAATCACACACACACAAACACACAAAGAGGCCAAGCGTTCTTTTTCTCGCTAATGTTCCTATCATCTTTAGATTGCAAAACTATGATTCAACTCTATGAGTCCTTGTCAGAATCAAAGATCTTTTTCATAAGCACATCTGGGTTTTTTTGCCGTAAAATTATTCAGTTTTGTAATAATAATATTAACAATAAGTTGAAGAAACAATGGACTACCTACTTAACTGCTGCAAGAAATTCACACTGACTGATTACAAACAATGGCATTATAAAGTAGCAACAATGGCTCATTGGAAGATCTGCAAGAAGTACCATTTGCCTGCAAGCAAGAACAGGACTGGTGGGACCATGAATAGGTAAAATAATAGAAAATGAAGAAGCTAAAGTACTACCATGTTTCCCTGAAAATAAGATCCTGTATTATATTTGTTTGAACCCTGAAATAAGCGCCTGGCCTTATTTTGAGGGAGGTCTTATTATTTTGGGGTGCGTGGAGCAAGATGGGGCTTCTCTTGCCTACAGCTCTGCGTTTAAATATTTTTGGGGAGGGCTTATTTTCAGGGGAAGGCTTATTTT